AGCGACAAAAGCTGAATTTCCCTATGGCAGCGGGCTGCCGGGTTGCCAGACTGCGCACCGGCTATTTCCACTTTTGACACACCATGACTGGTATGTTTCTTTATTCTTACCGCTGTCGCGGTAAGAAACATACGCCTATCACAAGTCTCCAGTGGCATGGTAACTGGCAAAAAAAAAACTCGGGCGCCGGCGGCGGCGGCGGCGGCGGCCGGACCGCAGCAGGAGGGGGGCGGGGGGGGGGGGGGGAGGATCTGCGAGGAATGGGTGGATACTGGATGACGGTCAGAGTACGTAACACTTGGTGTATTATCATATATCGTTCAAGCGCTTAACCGTATTCCGGGCGGGCTCTGAAAGACTCTGAATCGGGCGGGGGCCTTTTTGGCCCCCGTCAGAACTCGAAAAGCACGAATCGTAGCGACAAACGGCAACGGCGTTTGATAGTTCGTTGAACGACTTACAACTTTTGTAAACAACTTTTTTGGGTCAGGTCAATATTGAGGTCGCCAGAGGTCTTAACCCTATTAGTGGCAGGGGGGGTTGTTTTTATCCACCCCTCAGGTTTTTCGGGAATATCTCCGAAACCGCTGAAGCTACGATGCTGAAATTTTCTGACTTTTCCTAAAACTAAATTGGGCACATTCCCTGAAAATTTCAAGTTCATAACTTTACCAGGGGCGGCTCCAGAGCACTGGGAATTGGGGGTCCTATTCGTGAAGCGAGTCATTTGGGCGAAGATCACGATGCTGCACCAGTTTTACGAACAGTGAATGAAAGGTATCATGTGATAACATATACAAAGTTATTGTGCATCCTCTTTTGACACGTTTTTGCTATAATAGGCGGATCCAGGCGTCCAAAAAGGGGGGTTATTTTTTACCTCCCAACATAGGTGCCCTGACACCGCCTATGCATGACCAATACAATTTTAGTCGTTCTCTCATAAGGAAATTGTAACATAACAAGACCATTGCCACCTTTTTTAGAAACAGTACCAACAAAAACCTTATTTACTATACTTTTTGTGTACCCCCAATCTCAATGATCTGTATCCGCCTATGATTTTTGAAAATGCATATTTTTAGGATCCATGTGAATTCCTGGTTCATTCTCTATCGATTGGCAAAAGTTGCGTTAAGATTGGTTCAGAAACCTAGCCGTGATAAACAGTCTAAAATGTATCTGCAATTTGCCCGTTTTTACCCCCCTCTACCCCCCTATTGACATTTTTTTTTTAAGAAATGTAGATCTCGTTGAGCCAAATCGAATGCCGTTTGAATTTTGAAAATCGGCCGGTTAAATCTCGAGATATCAAGGGGGGGGGTCGTAAACAGCCCCCCCCCCCCTGCCACTAATATGGGGTAGCCAGGAGCCTGCCACTAATAGGGTTAACAAATAACATGGTTTATAACGACCTACATAGATAGGTCAACTTCAAAATCTGACCTAGGAAGGTCACGCTGGGTACCAATCGGCGCGTCATGACCAGGCGAACGGTTTGGTACACTAACAACTATCTAGCCCCATCATGTCGTGATTTATTGGCTAAAAACTGTTGATGACCTCACCTCACCTCAGATTATCCTTCCCGGTGCCCCTGTCAGTAAATGCCACCTGGGTGCTTACAGATCAGATAATCTGACCTGACGTACCTAATTCAGAAAGAATTGGGTGGTTTTGACTCGTTTTCTCGAAGCAGGACACAGTTCATTATATTTTCCAATAGGCTTGTCACGATTCTGACCTGACTGACGTCTGCAAGATTGAAACTATACGGTTATCAATTTTTTTTATGTGTGAATATGCCACGTTTACTTGCTGTAAGTAAAACATGGTTTCGTTAGTAAATTTTCCTATGGTCCAGGTGGTTTGCTTCATTTACGCCGTATATGAAACAAACAATCGATGGATAGGTATATATTAATTTCCCGGTCAAATAAATTATTATGAGTTGTGCGAAGCATGGCTATGGGAATATCACCACGGTCTGATAAATGGTTTGGGTAATTGCATCCATCGTAAAAATACCAACACAGCCACAGAGGGCTTCCTCTCTACAGATTGCCTCTTATCTACAGAGGGCCTCCTCTCTGCTGAGGGTGTCTTTCTCTCCAGAGGGCCTCCTTTACAGAGGGCATCCTCTCTACAGAGGGCATCCTCTCTACAGAGGGCATCCTCTCTACAGAGGGCCTCCTCTCTAGTCTCTACAGGGACCTCCTCTCTACAGAGGGCTTCCTTTCTATGTAGGGCCTCCTCTCTTCAGAGTCTCGTCTCTACACAGGACCTCCTCTATACCGAGGACCTCATCTCTGCAAAGGGCCTCCTCTCTTCAGAGGGCCTTCACTCTACTGAGGGCCTCCTACCTACAGAGGACCTCCTTTCTACTGAGGGAGTCCTCCTCTACAGAGGGCCTCCTCTCTTCAGACGATCTCCTCTCTACAGAGGGCCTCCTCTCTACAGAGGGCCTCCTTTTTACAGAGTGCCTCTATTTTACAGAGGGCCTCTTTTTTACAGAGGGCCTCCTTTTTGCAGAGGGCCTCCTCTCTACAGGGGGTCTCCTCTCTAAGGGGGCCTCCTCTCTACACAGGGCCTCCTACCCACAGAGGGCCTCCTCTCTACTGAGGAGTCAGAGGGGCCTTAGCGGTCAGACACAGACACTAGTGGTTATTCACAGGAGATGAGAAGAGCCCTAGCTGTCACTTGTCAGGCTGGTCAGAGGGCCCCGATTGTTCTGACGTCATTTTTTAGATTCCCGGGTGAATTTCGTTCGCCTCCGACGTGATTTTGGCCAACGTGGGCCTTCGGCCCACGTTGGATTCAGGCCGAAAGGATTCAGGCCAAAGTGGGCCTTCGGCCCACGTTGGCCTGAATCCTTTCGGGGGGCCTCCTGAAAACCCCAAGGGAGGGGCGGGCGCCCCCTCCGCCCCCCCCCCCCCCCTTGGCTACGTCCCTGACCCCTCTTACTGGTATCTGACCCATTTAAATAACGTTGACTCGATTGCCTGACCTCCAACGTCGTGAACTTATCTCTGACCCTCAATGACCTGACTTCTGATCCTCAATGACTTGACCCCTGACCCCCAATGACCTAACCCCTGACCCTCAATGACCTGACCCCTGACCCTCAATGGCCTAACCTCCAACGTCGTGAACTTATCTCTGACCCACAATGCCCTGACCTCTGACCCCAATGACCTGACCTCTGACCCGATGACCTGACCTCTGACCTCAATGACCTGACCCGATGACCCCCAATGACCTGACCTCTGACCTCGATGACCTCTGCCCGGACAGGTCTGTGTCGCGTCACGAGCTGTTCCCAATCCGCGCCACCCTGCTCTCGATGGAGCATTGTATCGCGCCCTTCCTGGATGGATGTGATACGAACGGAGACCGTGACATCTCGCTCTCCGAGTGGGCCAAGTGCCTCCAGGTTACTGATGTGAGTACCGCGCTCTAAGAATGAGGAAAAGACGTGAAAGGGTGAAGGAGTCTGACTTACTCTGTCAAGTCATTCTGATGTTCTTGCTTTAAACAGTTCCCAGTTTTATCGTTCAAACTTCCATGAACAGTCTTTTGCATATGTCCGCCGTCTTTAGTAAAGCTATGGTTTGTTCCATCTCTTTGTATAAGTAAGACGAGATTATTTTTCCTTATCGATGTGATGTCATTCACGCTTATTCCTGACGTTAATGGATTTTTCTTTTTCATAAAGGGTGAGATCAAGGAGCGTTGTGAGAACATCAAACAGGAGAGCGACTAGCTCCGTCTGGAGCCAACGGTGAGCTACATCCGACAGGCTCCTGTGAGCTACTCCTGAGCCAACGTTAAACACAGGAGCTCACCAGGCCACTGATGAGCTCTGAGCTAGCAGGGAGCTGTCGGCGAATCACCAGTGAGCTAATACCGAGCTTCTAATGCGGTTTGGGTACCAGTCGGGACTCAAACCAGGGAAACATTGGTGCTATCTTTGAGCTTACATGTCTTACGTGGTAGATTGCCTTTTTAGAATGTCTCGCTGCGTCCAGTTAGCAAATCGACTGACTCCTACTCACTGTGATTTGATAAAAAAATGAAATGTGTGTGCATTACCGGAACTTGTAACTCGTAGGACATTTGAACTGAGACGCCATCGATACTTGATGCAATTTTGAAGTAAGTTACAACCACTGCCATGACTGGATCTTGTCCGAGAATAAAAAACTGCGCTGCATTGTCGGGATTTTCCATTGTTGAAGCGTTTCAGTTTCTAAAGCGAATTGTGCATAACGCATATGATTTGCAGCGTTCCGACATCATTTATTAACGTGTTTCTAGGACAACAAATATTTGCATGTTTATTTAGGTAAGCTTCACTTTCTTTGTGTACTCTTTGCTACTCTCCACTGTATTGTTCGCCTGAAGCCTGAAACAGACTATTTCCGCGGTCAGGAAATCGCATGCGAGAGCCTATTCAAATACATGGAAGCACGCTCGCATCAATCGCACGCGCCTCCCGCAAACGATTGATGCGAGAAGAATTACAATATATTTGAATAGGCTCTCGCGTGCGATTTCCTGAACGCGGAAAGAGTCTGTTTCAGCCCTGACAGTGCTTTGAATCAACTTGTTGGATACGGAAGACAACACGACAGGAGATCGTGACAGCAGAATGAATGTCTTTTCTGAAAGCTGTTGTCTCCATTCAGTTTATTTAGTTTATTACAACATAAAATAAATACAAGCCGCGTCCGACGTACGTCAACTTACCATTCTCTCACATTCCTCAATAAAGTCGATATATACAGGTACAGAGTCGAATTGCCCGTCACACATTCCAAGAGACATGATGCAGCGTAACGTACTAGTCACGTGACGTCACGAAAGTTTTGCATCACGCGGTAACTGGGCAGCTTTTCGCATTATCACTCCACTTGCTTTCAGTCACATTAGTCGTTACCAAACAACGTAACAAATTAACAAACCAATCAACAACAGGAGCCATTTGTTGCTGAGCAGGCGTTGTGCCTACACTGCGTATACTTGTACGTATGCTGCAAAATGCATAAGCACGGGCTCATATGACGTAACAGATAACGGTCATATTTCTTGTAGCAAAAAAAAAAAAACACATTATTTACACATTTTCACTTTATCGAATAACTCAATTGTAAGGTTACACTACGATGCTATTTAACCAAACATTTAACAGATGAAAACAATAACCCCGTTATTACGATAACAGCAGCTTTACGACAAGCGCTCTGTACAGCTTACAGCTTTACGCTCTGTTGAACTCAACTTGAATTCGGACCAATGTTAAAGTCTAACACTTGCATGTTCGCTTGACACGTCAAATGTTGTCAAAACGTAACTTGACAGATGATCATGACATCCAGCAATAACGTCAAAAAGTTATTATTTCCCTCTGAATGAGCTTCAACGTCATCACGGCGCTGGCAAGCACTAATTCATTCAACCAGCCAACTATTGGCAGTTTACTATGTCCGATGGAAGTGATTGGCTCGATATTCACTCTATTCACACCTGACACCATTGACCGATACCGCATTTTACCGGCACTTGATTGGTCAGGGTCAGGCCACTGACATATGATTGGTCGCTGTCCCACATCACTGGCTTATGATTGGCTACTGTGTCCTCAGTATTGCTGTGTGATTGGACGGCTACTTGCCGAAGAAGTCAATGATTGGGTGATAGCCGTAGTTGATTCTCTCCTCGGGCTGACTCTGCGTGGGAGGGGGCGGAGGAAGAATGGCCGGGACCTGGTATGAACCGCCACTTTCCTGCTGGTCCGATCTGAAGAGAAAACAAGACATTAGTGATGAGTCAATGAAAACATGCTTTAGTTATAGTTCGTCTCCACCCTAGCGCCACCTTGCGAGGACGGCGATACTAGTACTTATAGACATTGCCGACAGATGACGCTAGCAGCCGACGCCTGAAGATAGGCTGTACCGCATAACACCAATCCAAGTTTGAGCGAAGGCTGATCCGCATCGACCGTTTGTAGCAATAATTTGCTGCAATGTGAACAAAATAAGGCAGTTGCTATTGACTGGAACCGATTTTTCGGCATAACATAGTTGAAGCTGGAAATATGCCGTCTACAGCATATATAGGAGACGTAAACCTGAACAATAATACGGATTACGGAATACATCGTCTCTTACCTTCGTCTTATCTCGTTGGTATCAGTCTGAAACGAAAAGAAGGAAAGCAATGATTAGATAAAAGATCGAAGGGTTTCGTAATAATTTGTCAAACTAAGAAGTCAGTTAAATTACCGATAAAACTGTCAGCACCCCCTGATGCAGCTGGCTAGTTTTTGATTGGCCGAGCGGTGTCCGAGACAATGCTTCATAAGCTTTTACACGACCGGACTGGTCCGGATGGGACAATGACAAAACAAATACCGCGATTTAACACCAAAGAAATATTACTTTCTTGCCCGCTAATTCATTGTGTTTTACTTTCTACTAACCAAAAGGATATTTTACTTAAAAACGCACAGAACGAAAAGACTTATTGAGGTAAATAAAAAAAAATCGTTGCTGTCTTACTATGACGTCACTAAATCGCTGTCATATGACGCTACTAACCGGCAGACGGTCGCCGAAGCTTCCTCTGAAGTACGTGACGTCATCAGGGTCCGCCAATCCGGGGATCTGGATCGGCGAGTCTCCGTTATCCTTCTCAACTGCAACAACAAACAAGATGGCGTCGTGATTGAGACAAAGTTTTACGTCATCATGTCACAAGGAAGCAGTTTGATAAAATGAAAAACACACAGTCGGCTGGTAAAAGTTACGTTCCTGCTACCTACCTGCTCTTTACCTTTCCATGTCGTCTGTCCATTGCCGTGAAGTGTGGGAAAAACATGCACACATGACCGTCCGACCTCACTGTGACTATTAGCCTGCCCCCTGTACTTCGTAACCACGAAATATACACGTCAGGTAGAATGCGTGTCCAGAATCATAGCTCAATGCTCGGCACAGAAACCCACATACATTCACAGTGGTCCTGACCTTTACGTTGCGACTCTATGTTGTCAGCAACCGGTCCTGTGTCACAGAAACCATGATCACGGGGCGTGCTAAGAGCTCATCAAAATGAGCCAGCGATGGAGAATTAATTTAAGTATGAAATGTGTTGAGCCGGCATTTAGAAGATTTACAGTATCAGACTCATAAAGCTAATGAAATAATGTTTGCGTGATAAGCAATGCTTGTCGCCTGTATTATGTAATTACCGCACTTCCAACATTTATTCCCATGGAACAGAACAAGAGCACGCAAAGTTAGAGGGATCGTAGAGACGTCTGATTTTCTTAAAAAAGAAGAAGAAGAAAAAACAGTGCTTAGTTAAAAAATAATAGGCACAATGCCTAAACTTAATCACCACAGGATACCATATACCTACCTAAATGTCTGAAGCACAGAGGTCAAGCTAGTTAGTTGGCCAGGTTTGCAAAATGTCCAAGCTTTGGTCCAAGCTATGGTATAGCTTCTTCTTTTGGTCTCGAAATGGCACTTACATATATCTGGTGAGAGACCGCGCCAATTATTTGTGTTTAATTTGTGTCACACTTCGCGGAATATAACTTCGCCCGTGTCTGATTTCTGTCCGCGTCCGAATAGCTACATTTCACCAAAGCTGACCAGTGAACAAAGTAGCTGAGTGCCTTCAAAAGTTCTCGTTAGAAATAAAATAATCGGTGTAAAAAGACCATAGTTGTAAGTGTCGACTTTGGTACGGGAGAAAGCCTCACCTGTGTCCAGTTTGGTCTCGTTACGACGGGAGTAAGTCTCACCTGTGTCCAGTTTGGGTCTCGTTACGACGGGAATAAGTCTCACCTGTGTCCAGTTTGGTCTCGTTACGACGGGAGTAAGTCTCACCTGTGTCCATTTGGGAGTAAGTCTCACCTGTGCCCAGTTTGGTCTCGTTACGACGGGAGTAAGTCTCACCTGTGTCCAGTTGGGTCTCGTTACCACGGGAGTAAGTCTCACCTGTGTCCAAAGTTGGGTCTCGTTACGATGGGAGTAAGTCTCACCTGTGTCCAGTTTGGTCTCGTTACGACGGGAGTAAGTCTCACCTGTGTCCAGTTTGGTCTCGTTACGATGGGAGTAAGTCTCACCTGTGCCCAGTTTGGTCTCGTTACGACGGGAGTAAGTCTCACCTGTGTCCAGTTTGGGCCTCGGTCGATACGGCGGGAAGGTCACCTTCCTCCTCCGGGTCGGCCGCAGTCGGCTGATGCCGCGGTACCTGGTAACCATGGAAACACGTGGACAACCGTCAAAACGACACCTAATAGAGCTCAGCCTATCCGTAAGTGTACTTCACACGATAATTGAACGTTCTGCTGTGCCAAATACATAGGCAATGAAATGTTAACCCGCGCCCTGCTGGGGGGGTGTTTGAACACCCCCCTTGTGGTTTTTCGCGAATATCTCAAAAACGGCGGCGCGGAGCGCCGCCGTTTTTAGTACACCTTATCATACATCAATTCTACACATGTTGTGAAAATTTCAGACCAAGGTCATTCAAGGTCAGGTCACCAGGTCACTTGAAGTGACCTCACCTCATAAAAAGTTTCAATGTCTGTCATAGCTACACCGAGTGACCGATTGCTTTGAAACTTTCAGCGATTGATAAGGGTAACAGTATCTATAAAATGTTTATCTCGGAATTTTGATATCGGTGACCTAAGGTCAGGTCAATTTTGCGACCTCCCCATTATAAGTCAATGGGAGAAAATTGAAATGCGCCTCTTTTGGACGAAACACATTATAAACACTCCCAAACACTGAATTACAAGTGGTTTAGACACACTGAACATGAAAATGGTGTCCGTGACCCTTGTTTATGCCCTGAGGTCATCTTAGGTCACGAATGGTATCTAACAGTTTTTCGCAAATAACTTTTGATAGAGGCATGCTAGAGCGATGAAAACGCCTTAGATGTGTTCAGCTCGACGATACGGATCGACTGATATGCAACATGACCCTTTCCGGTCAGGTCATGACCTTGACCTGAGGTCAAATTTTCAAGTTGACCTTTCAAGGTCAAGTTATAGTTCATTCGATGCGTCTTGACGAGAGGAACACGATGCCGGTAAAAGTAAGCTCGTACAAGGCTTGGGTCAAAAGTTATTGCCGCAAAACTGTTTCCGAAAAAATCGGCTATTTTTGCAGTTTTTGCCCCCTGCAGGCAAAACCGTTGACGTTAGGTCAAATCTGAGAGAATTACTCAGAAAGGGCGTTAATAGGGCTATCGAATGCGCTTTTCCGCGGCGCTGTAGCTCTATTGGTTCCCGAGTTATGCGTTGGCTTCTTGGAAATTTTCTACATTCGACCTGGAAATCGGCGAAATTTTGCCTTCAATGACCTCTGGTGACCTGACCTTTGACCTGACCAAAAAATTGACTGAAGCGATTTCGTCATTATTTTTGGCGCTCTTTCGAACGCCGCCTTCGGCGTATCGCTACGTGGCCCAGGAGCCGAGTTACAAGGGGGGATGTTCAAACACCCCCCCCCCCCCCCAGCAGGGCGTGGAAATCCAGGACCCCCAGCCGGGCGCGGGTTAACCCTATTAGTGGCAGGCTCCTGGCTACCCCATATTAGTGGCAGGGGGGGGGGGCTGTTTACGACCCCCTTGATATCTCGAGATCTAACGGGCCGATTTTCAAAATTCAAACGGCATTCGATGTGGCTCGAGATCTACATTTCTAAAAAAAAAATTAAAAAATGTCAATAGGGGGGTAGAGGGGGGTAAAAACGGGCAAAGTGCAGATACATTTTTGACTGTTTATCACGGCCAGGTTTCTGAACCAATCTTAACGCAACTTTTGCCGATCGATAGAGAATGAACCAGGAATTCACATAGATCCTAAAAATATGCATTTTCAAAAATCATAGGCGGATGCAGATCATTGAGATTGGGGGTACACAAAAAGTATAGTAAATAAGGTTTTTGTTGGTACTGTTTCTAAAAAGGGTGGCAATGGTCTTGTTATGTTACAATTTTCTTATGAGAGAACGACTAAAATTGTATTGGTCATGCATAGGCGGTGTCAGGGCACCTATGTTGGGAGGTAAAAAATAACCCCCCTTTTTGGACGCCTGGATCCGCCTATTATAGCAAAAACGTGTCAAAAGAGGTTGCACAATAACTTTGTATATGTTATCACATGATATCTTTCATTCACTGTTCGTAAAACTGGTGCAGCATCGTGATCTTCGCCCAAATGACTCGCTTCACGAATAGGACCCCCCAATTCCTAGTGCTCTGGAGCCACCCCTGGTAAAGTTATGAACTTGAAATTTTCAGGGAATGTGCCCAATTTAGTTTTAGGAAAAGTCAGAAAATGTCAGCATCGTAGCTTCAGCGGTTTCGGAGATATTCCCGAAAAACCTGAGGGGTGGATAAAAACAACCCCCCCCCCCCCTGCCACTAATAGGGTTAAGGAATTAATAGGTACATAATGAATGAACTCAAAGTCTCCTCTTCTTTCTTTCGCTCATGTTTCTCCCCTCTTCTACATCACACATTGCTTTTGCCAAACCATCTCCACTATATAGTTTTGATGTTGGCGGTGCTGATTGCCATCTCATCTTCCCCTCACCGTTTGCTGGTGTTGGTTACACTGGTGTTGGTTGCGGTGAACATAGCGTTCTTGTTGGTGGTGGTGCCCTTTACTCACCTTCTGGTGGTGGTGGTCGCCTCGGTGGTGGTGCTGGTGGTTGGTGCCGGAGTGGTGGTGGTGACTGGTGGCGGCGGTGGTGTTTCCGGCTCCCTGGAGGGTCGGACTACCGTCTGGAACGGACGTCGCGTCCGCCCGCTGTCCCCTGAAACAAAAGTTTGGACACGTGAGTCAACGGAGGACGAATATGTTACGTACTCGTATGACTGTATATAATATATATCATATAGACCTGTCCACTGGGTGCTTTTGTCGAAATGTCCCACAAATGTAATTTCGGCCTCGGAGTAAAAGTACGAATGTCGAAACTCAAAATGGTAATGACAGTATCGAAGAGTGAATGAGAAAAATAGGAAACAAATGTGCTGTAACCAACGCATAAGTTTCTCGTGAATTTACGCCACATTCATTTTTTCTGTTTTTTTTTTTATATAGTGTCATATAACTAGCCCATGCGCTATGAAGGTTTACATTGAAGGAGGATGTAGGAGATGATGTAATATTCTCACACTTCCCCGGTAGACCCATCAAATTCCCATACACCCGGCATGCCCACAAATCCGGTGGACAGACACACACTTCCACCTACCGGGAGGATTCTCCACAGTTTCACGAATGGTGGACTGGGCCCTTCCACCGATCGAGGCGCCGCCTAGCGGTGGGTACACGTACGCGTACCCCTGGATATGGCAGCTGCAGGCCACCGGTACCTGTGGGGCACGGTGGGGTACGGTTAGTGGAAACGGGGTTACAGCTGGGTACGTTTAGGCGAAATTGATACAGAGGGAAACGCATCATTGAAAGAAAAAAAAACAGGACACATTGAGAATCATGAATGAAGAACCGCTTAGTGCTTACACATTTTACCCGCATATGCAATTAATGCCAACACTACAGCTGGCATTATTTTGAGTCATTTACCTTGAAAATGTCAATGTGCACTCATCGGTGTTTGAACCCTGTTCCTTCGTTACATCACCTTGTGACCTTACCCCGATGATATCTACATACAGTCCTCTCAACTTGGCTCTGCTGCCCTACTTCCCCTACCTTGAAGATGTCCATGTGCAGCCCCCTCTGTTTATCCCAGCTGAGCAGTCGGTGATAGTTGGACACCTGAGAGCACTGAGACTTGTAGTGGTGTGACACGTAGCTGCAGCTGCCGCCCGGTCGCCTACGGACAGACATGGTAAGAAAGGGTCGAGAAGGTCACATAGGGTAAGAATGATGGGCTAGCTAGGCATAGGCAGGGATCAGAATGGGTCAAATAGGGTAAGACGGAGTGAAAAGGTCATATTAAAGTTAGATGGGGTCAGCCACAGTCAGATGGGTCAGACGGGGTCATGTAGCGTCAGAGCCCAGACAAGGGTCGGATAGGGTCAGACAGGGTCAGCTGATTTAGACAGTGTCAGAGTGGTCAGACCGATCGCGCATAGGTATCAGAATATCAGATGTGGTCAGCAATATTCCGGAGAAGGTTAGAGACGTGTCAGATAAAGGTACAGCTAAACCAGAAGACGGTAAATTTAGAGACGCGAATGGCACCATCTCACTTACATGCATTTCTCCATTCGCAGCGTCTGAGTGTAGCGGTCCATGTTGACGATAAACTTCCACTCTCCCTTGCTGTTCTTGGCGCGCTTCGGGCGCGCGTATTTCACTTCTGAGGGGCAGAGGTAGCCGCCGTCCTGCGCAAAGTCCCGATGCGAGTGGGATTCGATCCCGCGCCGCTCCGTCTGCGTCCGGCTGCAGACAGTTGCACGTCAGTGGGCGAAAAAATACGCAAACTGCACTAAATTTTAGCTGCTCACCACATTTTAATTGTCTAGTTTTGTAAATCGATGGAACTGCTGAAACCAAAGTGAAATGATAATTGATATCTGCTTATTGCAAAAAAACTTTATGCTTTTAAATAGTATATCCGAGGTCACTCATCAGAAAATCTAATGATTAAGTAAAATATATGTTGCAGGCACTTTAGAAAATCAGTCATTTTGTAAAAAGCCTAGGCATTTTGCAAAATGCCTGATTTTCCAGGCATTTTGCAAAAAGCCTAGGCATTTTACAAAATGACTGACTCTCCAGTCATTTTGCAAAATGCCTAGGCATTTTACAAAATACCTAGCCATTTTACAAAATGACTGAGCAGCGTGTTGTAGATACGAGTACCTAATTATATACGTTTTGGTAGCGTGTAGGTGGACCGAGGAGTCCAGCATTATGACCAGAGGAGTCCAGCAGTGGGAAGTCCATACCTACCTCTATTTTGAGAAGTGCAGGCCCGCGACATTTCCAACCCCCACGTCAGCGATGCTGCTGGATTTAAAATGATCGATCTGGAGCGTCAACAAACGACTATTTCTTTCACTATACGAAAGAATATACATTTGTGAGTATGTATGGTGAATTTCTAGTTAATCCAACAACAAATATGGCAGCTAGAAGCCTGCTAAGGGTAAGATGTCGCCGGCTGAAGCGGGATCGGCCGACGCGGGAAACGCGGCAATCACAAGCAGGGCTGCGGAGTCGGAGTCGGTCGGAGTCGACAGTCGTGACCGGAGTCGGAGTCGGAGTCGGAGTCGATTTTAGAAACCCGGAGTCGGAGTCGGAGTCACCGAAAATCTGTCGACTCCGCAGCCCTGCTAGGTCTGCGGAGTCGGAGTCGGGAGTTGGAGTCGGTCGGAGTCGACAATTCTGCCCGGAGTCGGAGTCGGAGCTGGTTTTTGAAAGTCGGAGTCGGAGTCGGAGTCGGAGTCGCCGAAAATCCATCGACTCCGCAGCCCTGAATTCACAAGTTTGTGTTTACACACTCATAACTCAAGTTGTTACCGGCCGATTTTCAAAATTCTTTGACCATGAGATTGCCTGTACATTTCTTAGTCTTCTCACAAAATTTGACGCGAATCGAATATAATCAGCGGTAAGGAGTGCGATGTAAAGACGGGACCGTCCCGCCCCGGCACAGTCTACAATTCAGGCGGCGCGTAACGATTAGCGCCGGCCGCCGCGGCAGGATGTTTGACTTTACATCGCTATTACAAGAAAAGTTGAGAAACCGATTTTCTTATTTCTTGCACGAGAAGATCCGCAGCTCAATTCTGGACAGACAGCCACAATTTCACAGTAATATCATGCTTGCGACGCGAGTTATTGGCGAAAAACAGAGGGGTGGGCGGAATCCGCCCCCCCCCCCTTCCACTGCGCGTGTTAAAATGTGAGGATTAGAGAGAAGGAGTGGGAAATTATAATTAAATTCGAACGTGTTTTTAATGTCCAAATACATAATGCAGTTTTGTGCGTAATGGCACAATCAAACAAAGACTACACTCATTCGTTTACATGTAATTGTACATCAACCGGGCCTGCCTTTTGACTAGGGCCGGTCTCCGGCTGGTTTTGTTAGGTCTAGTTTCAGGCAGAACATGAACGGCGTTGATGTACTTGGGAGTTTTTACAGCATTAACTAAACAATGCTTTATGCTACAGCCGAGTCTGCAACTCAACCTGGTCGTTACTCAGCATTGTCGTCATCACAGAGCTTCAAATCGATCAGCTACAGGCTGAACACGTACCTATAGGGTATAGGAAGACGTCCAAAAACTGTTGGCCATAGTATCTGTAGTGGGATCTACGTTCCATGCTGGTCAGGCATTTTGCAAAATGCCTAGTCATTTTGTAAAATGGCTAGCCATTTTGAAAAAAGCCTGGTTGCGTTCAGTCATTTTTCAAACAGCCGTCTTTTTGTAAAATGCCTAGGCATTTTACAAAATGACTGATTTTCTAAAGTGCCTGCAACATATATAAGACAAAATAAACTACTTGCCTAAAATGAGGCTGTTGCGAACGAATCGAATCCGACTCGATCGACTGGTAAACTTACGAATAAGCAAAATCCGAATAATACGAAAGTCGAATTAAACTTGTTCCGAATTGATCAATCTATATTGTCCGCCATTTTCTCCTTCTAATTTCAACGAGTTCATTCACACGACAACAATAGCACCGACGAAATTCCGACTGCGTGAAAATATGCAAAATGGCGCGTGCCATAAAACACTGGAGCCGCTACGGCGGCGACATCCTCCCCCCCCAAGAGTGACCCGTCGTCACCCTTGGCACCATGCCCATCGAAACACACACTGGGCAGAGCGCAGTTGCACCACTAATCACCATCATCATCACTCCCCTCGAGGAGACACACTTTGCTAGCAGGACGGCGGAGACGTCCTTTAGCGGTCACTATATCCACAGAACGGACACGACCATCGGGTCCAGGGTACACCTGAGCGACTCGAGCCAGCGGCCACAATCCCTTTGGCGTGTCGTCGCCGGCTAGCAGCACCAAGTCTCCGACGCGCAGGTTCCGAACGTCTGACGTCCATTTGGTGCGCTGAACGAGGGTGGGGACGTATTCCCTGAGCCATCTTCGCCAGAACTGTGTGGCTATGGCTCGTGCTTGCCGCCAGTGACTCCTGACATTCATGCGTGATGAGTCACTGAGCTGAGACGGCAGGAGACACGCCGGTCTGCCGAGAAGGATGTGACTGGGAGTGAGCGCTTCAAAGTCACTGGCCTCTGAGCTGACGTGCGTCAAAGGTCGACTGTTGATGACTGCCTCTACTTCTGCGATAGCGGTCAGTAGAGCTTCTTCATGAACGATGAAGTTTCCAAGGACTACTCGGAGTGCTCGTTTCACGGTGGCCACCATTCGCTCCCAAATACCTCCCATATGGCATGCGGTGGGAGGATTGAAAAACCAGCGGATATTGTCTTGGGCGAGCCGATCACTGATGCAGCCTTGATTTAGGCCGGTTAGAAGACGTCGGAGTTCAGCTTCCCCTCGGCGGAAGTTGGTTCCGTTATCCGAGTACACCGAAGCTGGCCTACCGCGACGAGCGACGAAACGCTGGAAGGCCATGAGGAACGATTCGGTGCTTAAAGATGTCGATAGTTCGAGGTGGACTGCTCTGGTAGACATACATGTCACCAGCAGACAGTATCGCTTCTCCGTCTTCCTGCCTACTTTGGTGAGTATCGGGCCGAAGTAATCGATGCCGACGTTGCAGAATGGGTGTGTCACAGCTAAGCGCGCTTTCGGAAGCGCAGCCATTCTTGGCGTTTGAGGCTGGGCTCGTCTTCGTCGACAGAGCGGGCAGGCTGACAGGATCTTCCGCACTGTCGCCCGTGCTCTGGGGATCCAGTACAGCTGTCTGGCTTCATTGATGACGTGTTCGGCGCCAGCGTGCAGAAGCTGGCTGTGCAAGTGCGTGACTACTAATCGAGTCACTTCACTGCTGCGAGACAGGATCACTGGATGGCGAGCCGTGGCTGGGAGTGGTGCGTTGAGGAGCCGACCACCGACCCGAATGACACCGTCTTCATCCAGCCAGGGTGAGAGTGCCAGCAGACTACTTTTGCTGGAGACCGAACTGCCGTTCTTCAGGTCGATCAGTTCCTGATGATACTGATCATTTTGCATCTTGCGCAGAATAAGGTTTTCTGCATCGTTCAACTCTGCCACCGAGAGCGTGCCAGCACGGCGCCATTCTTGCTCTCCTTGAGAGCCGTGTCTGGCCACGAAGTTGCAGAGAACCGCATCAGCCAGGCGACGGAGCGTTTGTAGCGAGTCCAACTTGAGAATCTGCTGGGGTCAGGGAGAACAATCCCTGTGCTGAGATCAGTGGAGGTGAGATTCACGACCCTGACCTCGGGATCACCATCGTTTATGGCCTTTTGGCGAACCTCTGAAGGCCATTGATCCGGCGGCTGGCGAAGGAAGGCAGGTCCTTGAATCCAGCGGCTATCCGGCGTCAACTGAGAAGCCGGCAGTCCCCGCGAGCAGTCGTCCGCCGGGTTTAGGTTCCTGGGACATGCCGCCACTGCGATGGTTCTGAGCCTTGGCGAATCTCTGCTATTCGGTTGGCGAAGAACGTGTGGAAGCGTCTACTTTCGTTGTTGATGTATTGGAGAACCACCATACTGTCGCTCCAAAAGTTGACTCCATCAATTGCGAGCTTCAGTTCTCTTCTGATGGCGTCTGCCAGTCGAACGGCTAGCACAGCCGCTTGAGTTTCAAGCCGAACGATAGTCAGTTTCTTTAATGGAGCGACTCGATTCTTGCTCATGACGAAAGAGACAGACACAGTGCCGTCAGCCGATGTCTCTCTGAGGTAGGCCACGGCCCCGAAGGCGAGCTCGGAAGCATCACAAAATATGTGAAGCTGCCGATCACGTGCAGGTGAGTCGCATGCTTTGAAGCTCCGAGGAACTGTGAGTGCTTCCAAGCACGCCAATTCTCCCGTCCAACGAGTCCATTCTTCCGCCGTCGTTCCTGTGAGCTCACAGTCCCAGTCGAGTTTCAGTGCCCACAGCTTCTGCATCACGATTCTTGCGAGAAGAGTGAATGGAGAGGCGAATCCGAGTGGATCGTAGATGGAGGCAGCCATCTGAAGGATACCCCGTTTTGTAGGAGGCACAGTTCGGTGATGAACATGCAGCCTTAGCAGGTCAGTCTCTGCGTCCCACAGCAAACCGAGGATGCGTTCTGTCGGCAGCTGCACAGTCAGATCTGCCGCTGATGGCGTACGCTCGGACTCTGGCACAGCGGCGAGGACGTCACGAGCATTGCTGAGCCATTTGGTGAGTCTGAAGCCTCCTCGAGATACGAGTGCTGTCACTGCTGTGAGGCTAGAAATAGCCGAGTCGCTGTTTGGCTCCGAGCTGAGGAAGTCGTCCATATAGAAGTT